AGATAATGCTAGCCCTCCCAGTACACGAGGTCAGAGAGAGAGAGAGAGAGATAATGCTAGCCCTCCCAGTACACGAGGTCAGAGAGAGAGAGAGAGATAATGCTAGCCCTCCCAGTACACGAGGTCAGAGAGAGAGAGAGAAAGATAATGCTAGCCCTCCCAGTACACGAGGTGAGAGAGAGAGAGAGAGATAAACTTGTGTTTCGCGCGCTCATATGACCTTATGCAGTTGCGAGCACCGTGAAACCCTGTACTACTACTACTACTACTACTACTACTAGAGAGAGATAATTATATAAAAAATAAATAAAATACCCTTTTATTTTGTCCCGGAAGGGCACTTTGGTTCACAATGGCAAACATATATTTACATGCATGAATACATAATTATAAATACGTACATACATAAATACATACATAAATACACAATATTACACAAATACAGTACAGTTTACAACAATGCCACTGTCGGTCGCCTCTGTGCAACGCCCTGTATTTTGAGCTAGGGATGTCGTGTCTTGCTCAAGGACACACACCCCAGTGACCACCCATCTGATCCCCGTGTCAGCGACACTTGCTTGACATTACTTGAGTCTAAACTCACTACTCACTTAGCCGCTGGAGCCCCCAGTACACGAGGTGAGAGAGAGAGAGAGATAATGCTAGCCCTCCCAGTACACGAGGGGAGAGAGAGATAACAGATAGCACCAGCCGACAGCTTGCGTGTTTGGAAGCTATTTGTTGGCCTATGTTTTGGTTCAGATAAAAATAAAGACAATCTGTAGTTTATTAGCCAGGCTTCAGCATTGATCTGAAAGGACAAGTTGTCATTTGTTTGCCACAGTTCAGGTTAGGCCTAACAGGATAACGGATATTTCTCAATTTAGTCTAACATTTCATTTTGTGCCAATAATGATAGTGAACATTATTAGTGAACAAGATGGAAATCCTTTGACAATGCTGCTATCTCTCACCCAATCACTTGCATAGTCTTGACTCATACACCCACACACACACACACACACACACACACACACACACACACACACACACACAC